TACGCAATAATACGCCAATCCCCAAAGGCTAATGTAGTAATTCCATCTGATAAAATCCATCTCTTAGTATCTAAAGGACTAATACCTATTTTAGATGATCGAAGAAGTCTGATAATATGGTCTTTACTTCCTAATCTATGCATTGTTATCATACATTCTTTTCGAGATTTTAAACAATTTTCATACATATTATGAGTAAGATTCTTTTTGACTATTACCTTTTGTACTCCTTTAGCTCTTCGATCAGTTTTTCCATCAGCGAGAATATAACTATAAAGCTTAGGTCTTGGTCCGCAAAATTTCCACATAGCAGTACCACAACTTTCATCTTTAAACTTATCTGGAACTTTCTTATTCAAAGCAATTTTCTCCTTTCCTAAAACTTGGTATACAGGATGTTCTGGTTTATAATCACTAAAATCAAAATGTTCTTGCATCTCTACCATATCTTTATAGACATTCTCAGTTCGGATAAGTAAGATAAGAGAATCAGTATCAGTATATACCAATTCAACATTATCTCCATATCGCTTCTTTATAATATTATAATAGAAATTATACATGATAATCTTACTTTCATCAAGAACAGACATGCCAATAAAGATAGGTTTACTAAGTCTAGCTTTTGATTGATGACAAGAAATACCTATCAAATTCTCTGCTAAAATTCTATGAGATATGTAACTAGGATCAGCTACTAACTTTTTAAATTTCTTTGTTTCAGATTTAGGACGAACAAAATCTATTCTTTGATATTTACGTACATTTTCAACCGTCTTTCCATAGTTGGCATTACCAAGAAGCTTATATATATTTTTCTCAAAATCATTCTTAGCTAAAGCTCGTGATCTTGCTAATTCTTCCATAAACGGTTTCATCCATAGGCTTTGGTCAAATTCTATAGCACGATGAATTTTGGTAAGTACCATTCCTTGTTTTATATAGAATTGTAAAGCTCGATAATGAACTATATACTTTTTCTTATTATTAAGATTGGGGATGAGTTTTTTAGTTTTTGTATAATGTTTTAAATCATTAATAATTTCTTGTCCATATTTACTCATTTCCTTTTTGGAAATCTCGATATTTTCAGGAGTTAACGAATATGAGGAATGGGCTTTATGTAATTTATATGGATAATCAAGGTCTACCTCAAGAATATAACCTTTGAGTACGTCATCAGAAATCTCACACTTGGTAATTTTATCAAAAAGAACTGGAGTTTCTTCTGGTGTTGTCCATCTATGTCCTCCCGTTGGCATAGATTCCATCATCGATTCAATATATAAAGCATTGGCATCAACATATAATAGCCAAGTAAAGAGCTTTTTCATTGCTTCTTCTGAATCTGAATGTGCCTTGGCACTAGCTTCGCTATTAAAATCGGGGCATTGTGGATTATTAGCTTTAACTTGACAATTACTTACCATTGTAATGCCTCCTCGGATACCTTTCTCACAGAAGAGATACATGTTATCATCCGTGAATAACTCTATCTCTTGTCCTGTAATTTTATATAGAACATCTTCTGCAAATGAAGGGAGGGAAACATAGTGAGCAATATCTAATCCAAACTTACCTTTCATTAATTTTCGGAATCCTTCCAAACAATTTGCTAATAATAATACATCGAGGTTAAGATAAAAGTCATGGTAATCTCTGAATGTTTTCATATCAAAAGATTTTCATACCTCTTGTGCTATTTTATACGCTTTTTCTGAGCATTTAGATTTGTCGAGGATGCTGTCGAAAGCTTCAATAGGAGGAAGAGAAGTAGTATCCATTTTTTCTGGCGTATTAAACCAATCATATGGAAAAGGGGCTTTACGAAATACTAAGTCATCTCTTCCTTTCGGTCCATGTTCTCTAATTATAGGGAATCTCTCTGGATGGGCAAAGCATCTATTAGAGTTGATTCGATAAAGATGACTGGGTTTTTTACATGGTACGTCTAAAGAATTTCCATCTTTATCTACTTCTTCTTTACATGGTTCGGCTCCTAAGTTAGATATATGTGAGTCAAGACTTCCTGGCATGAGCTGAAGAGAATCCATATATCTTTGATTTCCAATATCGAGAGTAAGATAATTTTCCATATTATGGGGGATGGCACTTATCTTTTCTTTGCTCACTCGACCCATAGCTTGGGAAATAAGATGTGCGTCAAATTTACCCAAATTATGGAAACGAATCGGTAATTTGAATTCCTTTGGTTTGATTCGTAGTTGAAGATTGCAAATGCTATGTGCTGGACCTCTATACTTACCTGTAATATAGTCATGGTCTCGAACTTTTTTAAGATTATCTTCTTTTCCAAACGGCTTTTCACATATGCAACATTTTTTAGCTAAATTATGTGTTTTTTCTTCTTGAGTAGTTAATTTTTTTATTGATTCTCCAGCCCATCAGAGCCTACAATAAATTGTATTTGCAAGTCAATACATTATTCCTATATCTACTCCGAGGGGGTCTCTTCTATGAGCTTGGTAAAAACCTTTTAATTCGTTTTTAATTCTAGTTAAATTTTCTTTATTATTTTCCCTTAATGTCACGTCTAATTTCCAATATTGATATGGAATAAAGATATCAAGAAATTACTTAGTTTTTGCTTCTGGTAAGATTTCTGATTCTAATAATTTACATAAAGACTTAGCATTTTTTCTAATTACATGCTCTTCTGCGAAAAAGTCTCAACATTGCTCTGTTTCTTTTTCCATTGCTTTAATGAAATCTCCAGCTGAATTATCACCCCTTATTTTTACTGGTGGTTTGGTCTTGCCATCACTACGTTTAATTATATAATTAAATCCTATAACTTTATGTTCTTGTATTGCTGTTGTTTTCGATCCTTGATTCTTTTCAATGAGGGTGGAGAGAGTTTCAGCATCTGCTGTACAATCAAAAAGAACATCTAAAATTCGTTCATATCGTTTAAATTTATATATATTCTTACCTTTCTTTGGTATTACTGTTCTTTGCACTGGAGTATTAATTCCTTCGCAATCTTCCATGTGTTAGGCATCAATCTTAAGATCATGAGTTCGGTGGCTTACACAATAATCACAAACATATAACTTACCATTGTGCTTAGTTGTATATCCAGCTAATTTTCCTAATCCATCTCTT